TTAGTGGCGGTTTGGGATGTTGGCTGGAGCAAAAGAAGAACAGGGGAGGGGGAAGTTTCGCGAAGAAGAAGAAGAGGAAGTGAGGAGAGAGAGAGAGAGAGAGAATCAGATTTTTTAAAATCTGATTTTCGAAAAAAATACCATTTTGCCCTTTTTTCGTATTTTGATCGTATTTTCTTCGTTACGAGTCCGATTCGAGTCCACTACGTGTCTACGAACTTGTTTTGTCGTGCTCTATGCAATGGTACAAGTGGATTTTTCAAATTCCTTCCCGGTCAAAAAGTCAACTTAAAACCAAATAAAATATCTCAAGGGCATAATTGTCTTCTCCTCTAATAAATTATTAGTTAAAAATTATTTAAGGATCGGGTTGTTACAATTAGGACATAAAAAAGAATATTGGAAATGCAAGAAACAATAAAAATATATTGGAAATGCAAGAAACATTAAAAAAAATTAGGACATTAAATTTAATAAAACGGAAATTACAAATAATTTACCTCATTGCTAAGATTTTCGCCGCTTCGATGGTTGTCCCTCGCTTTTGCCAACACATCTCTCAATTTCCCTAACTCTTTATTCAAAATTTTCCATCTACTAGCCAAGGTAATTTCCGTACGAGTCGAACCCGATCTTTCACAAAATACCGCATGAATTTTTTTCCACGTAGGAGAGAATTTCATCTCATTGCCCATGACCGGATAATGACTAATTTAGACCCAAGACTCACACAATAGAACATCTTCCATGGTTGCCCACATCCCTCCAGCTTCGATGGAAGATGCCATAAGATGGTGAATAAAAATGAAAATTGAAAGTTAAAATTTTTTTGTGTAGAAAGTGAAAAATAATAAAAGGAGAAGAAAATGTATGAGGATTTGGTGTTGAAAGTGATCAACATTGGTAGGTATTTATAGATAAAAATTCCAGAATTTTTTGGTAATTTTAAAAAAAAAATTCAATATTTTTTTTTCCAGATTTTTTAACCCTAAAAATATGGAGGGATAAATTGATCGAAGCGACCAGAACAAGTCACGTGGCGTGTTACTGTTGGTGGACGTTAGGGCTAACGCCAGTGCACGGTAAATCAATTTTTTTTTTAATGTTGGCGCGTGCAACGCACGCACTAATGTTAAAAAAAATTTGAATTTGCGTGGCTGACGCTTGGCTGGCGTTAGCGATGATGTCATCTCCCCTCGGGCTCGGGCTCAGGTTACTTTCGCTTCCGGGCTGCCCTAGTCACGTGGGACCCTCACCTTGCCCGGGCTACATTGGCTCATTGGAACGACTTGCCTGGGATTAGGCCATGTTCTGCCCGAGCTTCAGTCAACCGGTGGAAGTGCTCTTAAAGAGGTTGCCTTTTGAATTTTGTCACAACTTCATTTTCTTGAAAAACTAAATGAAGTTGGATAAGATAAGGTTTTGGGTTGTTAAAGTTTAGTTGCATATATTATTACAGTGACGACTCTAATTGTAATTGATTTTGAGATGAATTTTTGTTATGAATTGCAGAAGAAATTTTAGGAAGATGGTAAACTTCTCCCTGAGTTTGTTGAAGCAGAAGAAGGTGAGTTACTCTGATTCAAACTTGTTATAGATAATTGGTATCCTTTTAAAAGGAAGCAATATAAATTTTCTTTGTTCTGAAGAAAGATTTTGGCCCTATGGGGATTGCTGTTATTTAATTTGTTTTCATCACTATGCAGAGAATGTATATCAATTTTTGAAGCTTCAGCTACAAATCGGGAACCGTAAGGCCATCTCCAATGTAAGGACCCAAACCCAAAATATTGCCCCAAATCTCTCCCAACCCAAGAAAATGAAGGACCCAAAATTTGGGAAAACCCAAATTTGGACCCAAATATGGATCCAAGTATTGCCTGGACCTAATATTATTCACTGGACCCCACACTGAGGTGGCAGAGTCCATGTGCTTCTGAAAAATGGTGGGACCCGCGCTGGTCACATGTTCTGATGGGCTTGTCTGTGGCATGGGCCACGTGTCAGCACTAGATGAGAGAGCCGTTGGGCTTTGGTTGTCTCCTTTTTTTATTTTTTTTTATTTTTATATTTTATTTATTTATAAATCAAATAGTATCGATTGGGCCCACATAGTCACTTTTTGGACTTAAAATTTGAGTCCGAAGGGTTGGAAGAAAAAACGATTTGAGTCCGGGCAAAACCCAAATAGTCACTTTTTGAAGGGGGAAAATTTGGGTTTAGCCCCTCATGGGTTGGAGATGGTCTAAGAACCAAACCTGAAACGGGCAGGTTTGGGTTGGTCGGTCTTGCCAGTGGATTTTCATCAGAATCAGACCAGATTAAACCGGTCTTCATCTCTGATTCAGATTTTATGAGAAAACTGGCCCAAACCGAACTGTGCCAAGCGCTACTCATTATAGAAGCTCCCAAGCCCAACAAAGTATCCGGTCCAGGAAGGAACAAAGAAAGCTGTGAGCTTTGGGAAACAGGGAAATAGAGATGGCGGCTAACTGTGCGAGACGAACCCTACAATTTTCTTCATCTTCTGCAAAAACCCTTTTGTGCCGTACACCATCTTCACCTTTCGCCTCCAAAGCTTCTAATCTTATCGAACTTACTGCCGTCAAGCCCACTTCTGCTCCTCGACTCCCTGCTCAGAAGCTCAAGGTATCAAGGTTCGATTTCAGTTTTTGTACCTTTAATTTTGACATACTTTGGAAATTGATTGCCTGATTCTAGAAGAATGGAAAAGAGCGCTGTGACTTTGTTTGGCTTCCGAGAAAAGAAAATCTGAATCTTGGGTCTTTGGTGCTTGCTCACGGTTTTTCTTTCTTTCTTTGTAGTTATGTGAAAAATGATTAATGGAACTTGCTCCAACTGATCATAATCCTTGCATTAAGCTGATTGAGTTCAGCCTCTTTGTTTCCTTGAATTCCAAAGCTTGAATTTTGTTCAATATTTCATTTACTTGTGATAATTGCACATGTTCACAGCTCAGTTCATTATGACAATGCCTCTAGCTCAGTTCTATTTTGTTCATATATATATATATATGTAGTTTTTTCTGTTTTATTTTATTGATCATATATGATTGTGATGGTAGTTCCAAATGCTTGAGAGCATTATTAGGAAGACTGCTGAATTTGTTACTAAACTTACTATGATTTGGCCAAGCATAGATTTCCAGTGGAGTTGGCGGGTGTGCTGTCATTGATCCCATTGCATAGTGCTACTGCTTCTGCCTTGTTCACTTCGCTCCTGTCTTTGCACAATAACAGCTGGGGATGCCTATCAGAAGGTACTCTTCAGGGTTTACCTTTGTTTTCATACAATGGCTGTCTGTGGCTTATGACATTAAATATCGTTGCACAATATCATTCGAGAATCCATAGCATACTCCTCTTCCATGATCTTTGGTTAATGATATTTTCTAATGGAGAAGGAAAATGAATTATTTAGTGCATTGGGCTCAGCAGAATGCCTTATGTTGAAAAATTGCTGAACCAAGAAATATTGAAGAATGCAGTGTTCTTAGAATTCTTCACAGATATTCAGGTGACATGGGGGAGGAAGACACAGAAATATCCGGAGGTTGTTATGTTATGTATAGGTAGACTGACGTCCCAATTGATTTAATCCATATAATTGTTTTTTTCTTCTTCTTATCCATGGAGTTAGAATTTCCTTCATGAAAACTCCTTGCAACTTTTACTTTTCCAGTGGTTCATTCTCTCATATTGTCCCATTAATAACTGGGTTTGTTACTGATGGGTGATTGCGAACAGAGATCGTTGTCGATAATACTATCTCACTGAGGCTTGTCAAATCATGACTCTGTCCTCTAGGTCCCCTTCAATGTCTCACCTTGTACATTGTACCTGTATGCAGGTTTTGCAACTCCTCTATAGCATGGCCAGTGAGCTGCTGTTTCTAGGTACAAGCGCGATCATGAATAGCGGATTTTGTTTCTTTTGCAGGCTTCTGATTGCATTTGAACTTTATTGTAGCCTCAAAAAGTAGATGATGATCGTTTCATTGTTTCTCAAGGTTTTCCAGACTCTAGTTATGATAACCGGAAATTCAGCATATCCCTGGTTAGAAATTTTACACACAAGACCCCGACTATGTGGCATAAACTCTGGAGTTAGATCAATAGTGGTTTTGAGACAATTGGTAAATCGGGTTTGATGCGTATTGGTTTCATTGGCAATAAATTTTGCAGTACGTTATTGTATCTTGAGGAACAAAACCTCCAAATTTTTGTACTACATTATTGCATGTTTTATAGGATTCAATTTTCACAGCTAAAAGAAGACTAACGCCAAGAAACATAAAAGGATTCTTGATGGACCAAGGAAATGATTGTTTTGAACACTTTTTCAACCCCTTAATTCTTCCCATGTAAATATATTAAATTTCATCAATTATTATTCCTTCCCACGTAGTTCTCAAACATTGAATATTCTGGACGAGAATTCAAATCAACTCCAAACATTTAATATAACTTTTTAATACAAAATTTATCATCGAAACCATATAAATACACTCTTAAACCCCCCAAAGAATCCACCAATCTTTTCAACCCTAGCTCTCACTTAGGTTGCCCAGAGCTCAAGAATTCAATCAAAAAATATGCAGCAGCACAAACAACACAGCCTCGTGACTCATCTAGTCTCTTCATCATCTTGTTATCATCCCAAAATGTAAGCCATCTCAAATAATCAACTCAGATAATACTAGTTTTTTGTTGTTGTATGTTTCTTATAGAAGATTGGATTGTTATTCGCACCATGCGCATGCCCCTTGCACTCAAGTTTGAATCTTCTGTCCTTAGATTAGATTAATTGAAAGTAGTTTAGACAATTTTTTTTATTAAAATTTTTTTAATAAAAAAAGAAAGAATTGTTAATCTTATGTTACGCACTTTTTTTAATTTTATTTGTTTCATTCCTTTGATTCGTATTTTAATCATTTATTCATTCTCTCACAAACAATGTTATGTCCAAATCTAGGTTGCTTTCGCGACGGAGAAAACCCATTTACGCCCAAGGCCCATGTGATTCGGTACTGGAACTAAGCGGTCCAAAACGACGCAGAGAAACTGTCGTTTCTGCTCTCAAAGGCCTCGCCATTGAGAGCGGTGAAGTCGGCAGCTTTCGTAGAACTCGCGGCTCAGAACGCTCTCTCGACTCGGCTCCCTGAGTTCTGTTCCTGTGCGAACCTCCTCTACTTCCCCGATGTCGGCCAGAGCCTCGAAAATCAGGACGGCGACACGAACTTCACCGCCTACTCGACCAAGAACTTCACAAACTATGGGACGACTCGATGGGCAGGGGTAGACACCATCGGCCGTCGACCCAGGTATAAAGTTTGATCCTCTCATCGTACTTGACATTTTGACAGAGGTGGCGACCGGCGATTTTGAGTTTCGCCGGCGCCGGATTTTGAGTTTGATCCTCTCAAGGATATAGGTAATTAGGATTGTTATGATAGCATGTGAACTTGTAGTTGTTGTCGTTGTCTTTGTTCTTGTAGCAAGTTGCTTCGTTGTCGTTGTAGTTGTTTGTTTGTGCCTTCATTTTAATTGTAAAAGTAAACAATGAAAACTTATTGTCTTCCTTTTGGATTTTGGTTTTTAAGTGGCAGTTTCTCGTTAGGTGTTATTCATAATTGTTTCAAATTAAAATAATTTTCTTATTTATTTATTTTTTCTTCACTTTTGTGAAGAAAAAGTTGATGAAACCAATCTGAAACTTCTTTATGATTTTCTTGCAGATATTACTCCCCACAGTAGTAATGTTGTTGTTAATAGCTATAAGGATGCGTGTTGATACTCAGATTCACCCGTCGCAGCTGTAAGTGGCGACAAAGTCTGGCTAATTTTTGTGTTTCATTTATGTTTGTAATATAGTGTGCGTGTGTGCATGGCAGGGTGTGTGTGTGTGGTTTTTACTTGATTTGGTACTACATATTTTAAGTATGTTTCGCTTTGGGCAATATTCTCCCAATACTTAATAAATTTGAAGGAAATAAGGAAACAAATGAAATTAAAACCCTACATGGATTTGGGCAAGGTTTTTGTATGTGGAATTTCTCATTTTGTGAGAAGTATTGGTACTAAGTTTAATGATACTTGACCAGGTATATCCGGAAAGGGACGTTTGTGGAAGTGGGCAAAGGAATATCACCGAACTTTGAACAAGTTTTGGAATTACTGTTGAATAAGGAAGAGTTTCTGGCTTTTGCACCAGACACCGAAGAAACAAAGTCAATGATTAACATAATATCGGTTAAATTTCCCCTCTTGAAGGTGCCCATTCTTATCTATTGCTTGATTTTGTTACTTTTGGTATGCAGTTGTGTGTTCATGCACATGCTAGGCACATTCTTTTCTTTAGCACATCTGAGCTTTGACACCTCCTCTATTTTGAAATTTATTTTTAAAAGCATTGAAGTCTTTGTTACATATGAGATTTGTTAACCACCCTACATAGAATGGATGATATTGGTGTGGGACTCCAGTTACCCCCAAATTAGATATCAAGAGTGTATTGTCTTCATTCTAGCAAACTATTGAAAAAGAAGATGTTTTGTTAACGTTACCATCCTGCTTTGATTTTCTTAAATGGTGTCCATTTGCATGGGGAGGCTTCATCTTTAGATTATGATTTTGGGGCAAACATAATTCATTAGTGCACTATTGTGGGCGAGACATGGTCAATTAGGCTCTGTCTTTTTTTGTTGTTGTCTTTTTCCTAATAAAAAAAAATTTAGGGTTAAGTTCTTGGCTTTCTCGCACTTTCTCGGCCTTTTGGTTAAGAACAAGTGTAGTATATGTTCTTATTAGTAGTTTCAGATGATTGACCCAATGGCCATTAATTATTAGGCATGGCATGTGTTGCTTTTTATTTATTAGAAAAATCTTATTTTCTGCCCCTCCTTTTAACTGTACGTATTAGTTGCAAATTTCTGAGCTTTGTATTCCCATATGGTTCTCTTCGTCACATTCAAGCATGGCTTTGTTAGTTGGAATTTGCTTGTATAAATTAGAAAATGAAATAACGGGTTTCACAATGTGTCTTTTCATTTCCTTCACAAGGGTTTTCATGGCTCAAGCTAAATAAAGTCCATTTCATACTTACAGAATGTTTCTAGAGTTTACAAAGATGAACAGGAGCTGGAAACCTATATAGGCTCAGATCTCTATGGTACCTGCAATCAAATAATGTAAGTCGTACTTTTGTATCACAGTATGGATCTGAGGGAAATTCCCTTGAAATGAATTTCGATTATAGTTGGGACTGGAGAAGTATGAAAGACTAGTGGAGAAATGCAAATTACCAAAATTGTTTCTTTTGATGGTTTTCTAGTACTGGTCAAACGTTTCCTGCCTAATATTTTGCAGATTAGTGATCTCTTGGACTACATGACTGT